AAAGATTTAATAAAAAAATATTGCTTCTTCAAGTATTAAGTATTTTTGTCAGCCTGTTAAAGGATGTCCAATTAATACATTAAAATCAGTGGTTGGGTTACCAAAAATAAAAAAGTTCCAGGTACTGTATAAAGAGCGGTAACATTACTTTATGTGATTTGTAGTTTAAGGCTGACAGCATATAAAGCTGCTGTTGTTGTCCAGATATATTTGCAGGTTTTTTTTTAAAAAACAACATGTTTTTCATTAAGTTTCTACATTCCAGTGCGTGTCTGAAGGGACGTTTGTTCACTCCTTGCTAAGTAGCTCAGTTATTCTCTGAAGACAAACACAAACCAGCACGCTCTCAAAAGCTCGACAGAAATAAAAGGCATTCATATATGTGTAACTCCTCTGTCTTTGCTCACAGAAGTGTCCTCTAGAGCATGTGGCATTGGAATATTAACAGCAAGGACGGGCAGGACATCTGGGCTGGGACCAGAGTTCAGAAACAGTTTTATTGTAGGAGGATGGAAATGTGTGTGTTACCATCACATTAATCCACATATGATCTCACCTTTACGCACCACATCTATCTCACTCTCACTGCCACTCCACCTCATGTAGATAATTTACTGAAACCTAACAGTTAACCTCTGTCCCTCTCAGCAATGGAAAGACTCCAGATTCCTCCCCCCAGCCTTACAGGATATTCTGGGATGGTGTCCCACAGTGAGTAAATATAGGCGACACACCGTCAGCTTGCAATGCGCAGGCACACATCCCCACGCTCACACTCAAACACGTGCTTGTCTGTCTCCGTCCTCTCCTGTTCAAATATCTAGACAGAAATATCGCCCCACCTTCGCACAATGACATGAGACTAATGGCAGAGTTCTGCAGCATCCATTCACACCCAAGGTTCACTTTTAACTGGGTGATAGCTATCACATAGAAAAGATCCCTCAGGTCTTTCGCTGAATGTTGTCACTTGATCTGATTCTTTAAATATTTATCTTTGTTGCTAAAGTGAATTTGTAGGGGAACTATTCTAATTCAAAATTGAACTTTATTGATCACACAATGGAGAAATTCACTCTCTGCATTTAACCCGTCCCCTTGGGCTGCTATTGTGTGACACCCGTGGAGCAGTGTGGGGATAAGGGTGCTGCTCAGGAACGCAGAGTGGAGGCTGTGGGGATCAAACTGGGTACTTGCAACCTTCTCAGAGCAGAAGCACACTTCTCTAACCACTAGGCCAACACTCCCTACTCCCCAATTCCTCTTGTGTTTATCTAGAAAACACCATTAAAACTTGGAACCGCCAGAAGAGATTCGGCTAGCATTAAATATTTCAACTATTTAGTGTTGGCCTTGGGGGTAAGAGCAGTGAGCTTGTGCTCTGAAAAGGTTGCAAGTGCCTGGTTCGATCCCCACAGCCTCAACTCTAGGTTCCTCAGCAAGACCCTTAACCCCACACTGCTCCCCGGGCGACACACAATGGTAGCCCACTGCTCCCCAATAGGATGGGTTAAATGCAGAGATAAATTTCTTCAGTGTGAGATTAATAAAGTTCAATTACTATTATAACTGCTATTTTAAGTTCACAGAGAGGCATGATTGGAAGCACTACCTTGCAGAGGAACATCCTGGGTCCACATCCAAAGATGCTTTCACACAATCACAAATTAATGCACATATCAATAAGCATACTTTTAAAATTATATTAAATTTTTGTCCTTTCAAAGAACTGCAGTTTATTTCTTTGCTGTTGCGTACTTCAGTCATAATGTCATTTCTAGTTCCAATGATCCCAGTATTACAAAGGTTAACACACAATGCCCTATACTAAGATTAACATTAACTTAACACCCTTAAAAAAATAAAGATGAGCTTACAAAGTGTTTATGCAGTAAATGCAACATGCTTTCTTGTTTGCCTGTCCTTTTAACAGATAACAGCTGGTTTGAATTATTGGATTTCATTGGCTTAAGAAACTCTTTGAGACTTCCTCACAAGTCTTTTGTGCTTTTTCTGACTGGATCAGATTTTAGAAATGTCAAACATCTGAACTTTTCTTTATTGCAACACTTATTGCAGTTCTGACATCTTGGGTCAGAATGGAACCTGAACTGCGTGTTCTATCTAGATGTGGTCGAACCTCATTGCTGTCTGCTGAAAGTAATACAGCAAGGATTTATTCTGGCATCTTATACTGGCTTTGAAACTGATTCCTGTTGCGCAAACAGCAAAGTTTATTTTATTTTATTTTTTTTTTTGGGGTTGGGCTTCTTTGTTGAAATTGCTGTTATTTTATTGCTCATGCAAGTTTACCAAGTATAATAATGTTTTAAAATACTGCTTTGTCCTGCTACAGTGAAAGGAAAAAAAATGCAGAAACATGAGCCTCAAGTGCTATTAAAAGCCTAACTGGTTTTGTAAGTAATTAAAACCACCAAGAGCAATATGTCTGTTTAAGAGTGTCAGACAGCAGTTCTGTTCAACAGCAGCTGAATGAAGTGATTCATATGAAAACAGATCCACTTAACAACTGTACTGTAGCCTCACAATACTGGCTCTTTGACCATTCACTACTGTTCTGTTTACACCAGATCGTCTATTGGCTCCGTGTTCCTGACACCGTCTAATGTTGATGTTATTGCAAAGCAAGTGATAATCCCCAGCATTTAACAGAGTCTCTTTCATGCACTGCAGTGACAGATGAGGGGTTGGAGTTAGAGTGTGTGGTAGTGATGGCGGACAGAAACAAAACATCTGGGTCGGCTTTGATCTCTGCATCCCAGAAGAAGAATTCAAGTCCCTATCAGTTTAAGTTTCTTTCTTAAAGGTGCAAGAAAGTCATGATGATGTCATCAAGAATTAGTTTACTGTCATTTTATATTGGCCAACCTCTGAAACACAGAGAAATATAGTTTTGTCTCAGGGTGTTTGTTCTTTCATAAAACTTCTCCTTCAAACCAGCAAAACTGTACGGTACATTAGAGACTGACAATTTTTCGGAATCCCACAGGTCACGGGATTCCCGTGGATGGGATGGGAGTCAACATTAGTAATGATCACGTGATTGGGACGGTACAGGATTAAACATTAACGGGAGCAGACGGGAGCGGGAGCAAACCAATAATAACTAAAAAAAAACCTAAGATCGATGCCAAAAAATAAAATAAAATAAAATGGAAAGAAAAAAATCCAGTACTGGCGCCGCCATTTTGTAGTTTTTTTCCTTGAAGCCTACACTATACATGTCATCTCAAGGCACTTTACAGTTCACCAGATCATACAGTCAAATTGATTCAGAGTTTTCTATCTAAGGAAAACCAGTTGATTGCATCGACTTATTGACTCGAATGCAATCCCTCTCACTAAGCATGCTTGTAGGGACAGTGGAGAGGAAAAACTCCCTTTAAATAAGGAAAAACCTCCAGCAGATCCACACTCAGGCCAACTGGGGTTCAAGGAGATGGAAGCAGAGATACACATCCTGTCATTCTATTAATACAACTTTCATTTATTTTATTCCGATTTCATACATTTGACCAAAAAAAATTTGGACATAAAAATCTAGGAAAAAGAAAATGTTACAAGGTTTGAAAAAAAAAACAAAAAAAAAAACGGAAGTGGATTTTATTGTGATGCCTCTAAATTAAATCCAGTGCAACCAATTATCTTGAAAGAGAAGCTAACTATCGTTTTTTGTCCCCACATCATATTTTTTTTTTTCTTTATCAGAATGAAAACATTGTTCTGCAAAGAACTGGGTTCATTTGAAGAACATAAGTAACAAACAGCAGTTACTTGAAGATCAGGGAACACAGCAAGAAGGCAAGGAGAACGTTTGTGGAAAGGTTTAAAGTGGGACAGATGGTTGAGAGCATGGTTCAACCCATCTAAGAAAAAATGGTAAGAGGATAACACAAAGGCAATCCTGTCAAAAACTGGAAAACCACCTAAACTAACAGCCCAAGCACAGTACATGAAATAATTAACCAGCCAAAACACACAGCATGGGAGAATTTGTTAAAAGGAAAACTAGAAGAGCAGTAACAGTTTACCAAAAATGCTGTCTATCGAACAAAGCAAACACTCCAATCAGATGACACCAAGTGTAAAGGGGTAGGAGCACTTTTTAAAGGTTGAACTATACAGAGGATTTGAATCCATTAATTGTTTAGGTAAGCTAACCTTAATGAAACAACCGTAACAAAGACTAAACATTATAAATAAAACCCAAACAGTTAATTTCATAAATTATATTCTAACTCCACAGACTCTGTGCCTTTAAATATGCCTGCGTGTTTCTGAGAAGGCACAGAGAAGATCACCCTCAATCTCAAACCTAGAATCATGCTGGATGCCACTTTATTCATAGCATAAGCTCATGCCCTGCACTTCACCAGGGAATAAAGGACTGTCTTGCAGAAAGTGGAAATCAGGAAGCTCCTCCTAAAGATACAAACAATGGAAGTTTTTGCAGGATCACATCATTCTTTCCCTTCTTTTTATTCTTTAATCCATTCGGTATCCTTCCTGCTTCCTTTGAAAAGTTACACCCTGCTTTTCAGGTTCTCTCTTCCTTGAAATCTAAATTCTACATTTTCAATTTCAAATTTTGATAATGAGCTTCACATATGATGCATTCTGCAGCACAAGTTAAGTCTTTCATAGAAGACCTAATTTGTTTTTCGCATTTATAAACAACTAGATTGATCGATAGGAAATTAGAAAAGACACAGAGGGAAATCCATTAGATTATTAAATCTGTGTAGTGGAAATCCTAAATAAGTCACAGCTTTTTGTACCAGACAGAAAACAGAGCGACAGATGTGACAGCTTTAATTTACCGGGACAAACATCTGTTCAGAATCAGATTAACTTACAGTCTGATTACAACACACTGTAGTGCTCTACTAGCGTCTGATCAAGTGTAATATTTGAACAAGCTATCCTGCCAGACTAAACTTGAAGATGAAATCCAAACCCAAACAGCAGCAGCATGGTACCTTTGTATCATGTCTTCCAGCTTCTTCCCTTTTTCTTCATCGTGTTCCAGCTGTTTCCGTCGTGCTGCCTCTTCCTCTGCCCCCATTCCCTGGAGAAGCCATCGCTCACGCATTGCTTTGGACTGTAGAGGACACAAGAACATGGTGAAAAAGGGGAAGGTTTAAGTCTGAACATAAAACCACTGATTTTAAGTCTGCAAAGACAAGCAGTGATTGGAAAATTACAGTTTAAAAAGCTTCCTTAAAGGAGAAGCTAAATTGTGTACCAATGGTTTAAATCACATGAAAGTTAATTGAAAATAACGTGGAATATGCGTATATATGCACTCTTGAGCATAATTAATTCAACTAACACTGTGGACACCTACAGTAGGAAACATTCAGCATGAACAAATACATATGACATTTTGTGAAATGTGATTTTTTTTTGCACATGAGATCGATGGTACATTGCAGTGCAAACAATGTAAAGCATTAATATTTAACATATGTTAAAGATACATTAGATAGTAAAGTTGTGCTGTGCTGCTGTCAATTAGCTTAAACAGAGAAATTAGTGAAAAGAAACTCTTGGATTATAAAACTTTTGGAAATTCATCCTGCGTTTGCAAAACTGTTCAGAGTAATCCCATAGTTTAACCCCATTCTAGGAATAAATGACCATATTTGGAATCTGTTTGACTTCAGAGGAAATGACACAAAATTCCCACAGTTGGCCTAAGATATGCTAAAATTATTCCTTCTTGGATTTATATTTTGAATTGTTTGACATAAGTTATATTAAGGTTTCCTTATTCTGTTTAAAGTTTGATCTGCCCCCCCTTTTCTTTCCAACTCAGCTGTGTTTAGGTTGATGGGATTTTCAATGTTAATTAGGCATCACAATGAATCTCAGATCTAGTTGTTTGGTTTATAAAGCTTTACGTATACAAGTAGAGCAGTTATTCAGGCTTCCCACCCACAGAGGTTGGTGAGAACTCTTTAATCTTTTATTAGATGTCCTATAAAGTTGTGTTTATGTGACCAATGTCTCTATCTGCCACTACAGCTTCGTTTGTTACCACAACATAGTCGAGCGTGAACATTCTGCCTCACCTTTGGCTGTTTACTCCCAGTCTATTGCTTGGCTGTGTGTCTGGGAGCTTAAAGTTAAGAGGGCAAGGAGCTGCACAAACACTTAGAAAGCATTTAACCAGCTGCTGCCAGAATGCGGCTGCTCAGATCAGCACACTGTATGTGTTGCCTAGTCTCAAATAACTTGAGAGTTTAACCTCAGAAAACATTAAAAAAACACTTTCATTAATATTGGGTTAGAAGATATGCATGGTTCTCACCACAAATTTCACTTTGCAGTAGATATAATGGGACGTGCGTCTTTTGATACTTATAATTGCATTGGTTTTCTACCAAAAAAAAAAACTAGAAGAAGACAAATATAGATGTAATGTTAAGTATACTTTCCAATTTGGATAAGTCAGGATTCTTAGATAATAAGTAATTTAGATATTATCAATCATCTAATAAACTCTTAGATCTAAGAGTGCAGGGCATGAGCTCATGCTGCCAATGGGTAAATCCACAGTATTTTTTGAGGCGACCAAGTCTCAACAAAATGCTTGTTGATGTGAAACTTTGCTTTGGAATCAGCATGATGTTTATACAGTCCCAGACTCAGATCAACGCCTCCTTTCTAAAAGATTTGAAGCGTGCAGCCTTGAGGTCCTTATCAAACTCTCTGAGCTCCAATTCCCATTTCCTCTCCCAGGCTTCCTGTGTCTCTGGAGAGCTCCCAACAAAGCCGTCTTCATGCTGCCTGGCCGTGTGGCACTCAGAGGTAATGGCCATAAAATGGGACTGTGTTACCAGATGTTGATTACATCGGCCGTTTAAGCACATTCAGGCAGTGGGCAAGAATTGTAACCACAGCAGTGCAGGGGCTCCAAGGATTGTTAGGGGCAAACTTGTCTGAAACAAATCCAGTTTTCTTTGAAGAAAAAAAAATAAACAGTATTATCTTCACATATTTATGCATCAAATATGTAGAATTCTGATTAGGTAAAGATATCTGATCTGAAAATATGGCCTCAGATTGGCTTTAATATCCAGAGGCCTGAGGGTAAACTCATGAGGTTGATCTTTGAGATTGGAAATTGAGTCCAAAACCACTGATGTGCCCAGTGGCACAGTTTACCTATCAGATATGTTTTACAAGCTTTATATCGGTCACCTTAATTCAAGATCAAAGTCAAAATGTTACTCTTTTCTTATTTTTTGGTTTTTGGTTTGGTTATTGAAAGCCACTATTGATGCAACATTTTGAGTGACATACAAACAGTTCTTCAAAAACTACCTAATGAGTTTTTTAACTCATCCATCCATAACTTCTAAGCCTTGCATGGTAGTACTTACTGTATGTCCAACCATCAATAGGCAGTCAATAGACCCGAGGCAGGGTACACTCTGGACAGGTTGCAAGTGACTAATTAGGCAACAAAGAGGTTTTCTGCTGTACATCACACTCACACACATTGTAAGGCAGTCAAATGATTTAACATATATGTTTTTGATCTGTAGGAAGAGAGAAACCATGCATCATCGAGGAATTTTATTCTGATTTCTATATGAGTTCTTGTTTTGTTGAGGCAACATAACCGGTTTTCCACATTGCATCTGTGGAAAGGCAGAATAATGTTGAATATGAACATTGTTTTTTAAAAAGATAATGAAAAATAAAACTTATCATGACTTGATTATATGTCCTAAATTGCTTCAAGAGTTTGCTCAGGGTAACCAAGTGTGCCCTCCACTTTGAAGTGATACTCTTTTACCTTTAGATTGCTGTGTTGCAGTGTTGATGCTAGCTTGTGAATTAAAAATATGTTAAGATATGTTTCATATTTTGCATTTTCTTTATGTTTTTAGTGTTCTGAAAATGCTGGAATACCATCAGTAAATCTTGTATCCACACAGTTTCTTTGAATTAAGCCTGACCTGAGTTTAAGTTTTAAGTGAGCAGCTGTGGAGGAGGCACTATAAAGTGGAAATGTAGCACATTGGTTGTGCTCATGTTAAGGAGGTCTCTGCTTGACCATCTTTAATTATTAGGGCAGAAAAGTAACATCACCAACTTGCTGTTTCCTGCAGTATTCCATGCATTTTCCTGCAGTATCACGGTGGAAAAAAACTAATTTACATTGACCTATTTTTTTCTGGATGAAGTCCTTGGTATTTCTGGTTATCCACATGTATAAAGAAGAATAACACCTCTTACTGTAATCGACTCTGCTCTGCCATCAGGGTTCTTTTACCACTTTGCTTTATCTTTTAAATTTTCTCTTTAACTTATTTTACCTACAAAAGTTAGAAAACCTTTAAAAGATTTAACACCATAAAAATTTTTTTTTTTTTTCAGGAAGAAAAAGCTGACTCCACTGTCTTCATTAAGAACAGTGCAAATGCAAACAACATTCTTTGTTGTTAAATTCACATGACTTTCATCAATGTGCCTCTCCTATCCATAATGGGTGTTAAACAGTGGAAAACTCTGGTGTGTGTATTCAACCCCGTTCAACAAAGGTTTCATTGATGCCACATTTGTTTTATCGCTCTAATTAGTGATTGGAATGTATTTTTATTGCAAATATTAAAGCTGGCTACCATAGATGTTTGTACTAAAATGAAAAACCACAAATACACTTATACCCACCCAGTGTGTTTACAGCTACTAAAGCTTTAGGATTTTTCAACCAAGTCAATTTGATTGAAGTCAAACAGCTATAAGGCAGCGGTTTAGCACAAGAGTGAAAAGTAATAAGTAGTTTAATAAATTATAACAGAATATTTTGATGACTTAACTTTAGACAGTATCTAGTTGTTGAGTATAGATTGATTAGTTAGACTTACCCTTCTTTTTTAAGCACATGTGCAAAATCTAGCTTTTTAACACATTTTCTGAAACTTAAAGTATGCTACCTAATTTAATAGCTTCTTTCTACCAGTTTTTCCTCATCTTTCAAACTATTTAATGCCTTTTATTTTTTTACCAATTAAACACAAAGGCTTGGGTTACCAGTTTTGCTTGGGATTAAGTGTTAGCAGTTTTATTCGAGGGTGTGTTTGGATTTAAAAGCCTTTTCTCCAAAGAAGAAAACAGCCTTCAAAAGCAACTTAGCTTTAATATGCCTGAATGCATTCCAAACTAAGAGTTAGGCATTTTAATGGAACTTGTCTAACTCAGCAAAGGTAGCCTGTTAGCTGTGATCTGATGACTGTGGACCTTAATGGAGTTGCAAGAAGATGAATTCTGCTGAATTTGCCAATCAGGAGGTTGTGCCTTGTGGTCCTTATGACTTATTAGAGTACAGAGAAAATACTCTACATACTATTGCCCCACCAGCTCAACCCATCAATACAGGGAGGGATGGATCCGTGCTTTTTCAGGCGAAACTCAGACTCATAATATAAGGCAGCCTTTTTCTACAGTAGTTGTTGTTGTGCAATTTTAGTGGGCTTGTGCAAATTGCAGCCTCAGTTTTGTTCTTGGCTAACCTGAGTGGCATAATGGATAGTCTACAGGGGATCTTGGACGCACCAATGTTTTACATCATCTCTTACAAGATTCACAATAAGCAAATGTTAAAATTCCTTTTTACTTCTTAGTGCAAATTGGTAGCGCTGCAACGTTTGCAGTTTTCTGTAAAAGGGTTGAAGGTAAGAGGGTTGAAGTAGTCTCCTATGAAAACATATAAGAATGGCAGTAACAGTTGGTAGGGTTTGGAGTTCACATAGACAATATTAAAGATATTCAATGTTGATTGAATAACCTTAAATACCTCCAACCTCAATAAAAACTGGCATTAGAGTTAAAGCGAGTCTTGCAAACGTATATTTAAATGGACTTTGGTAGCTTTATTTTCTTTTTCTTTTTTTGTTTGGTGAAATACATGATAGGATCACTCATGTTTTTACAATCCCTTCAACATCATGCTGTTAAATTGCTCCTGCTCCATTTACCATTGATTTTCAGCAACAGTTGTATAAAGACTTATAGACTCATAACCCTCATGGCCAGGATTTCTATGCACAGCCAAGGGCCGGAGGGGTGTGGTTAGTTTGGATGACAGGTTTCTGCTGACTCTTTCCATCCAATAACTAAAGCTTGTTCTTGGGCAGTTTGCAGCCAAGAGTGATGCGTCCAGGAATCATGAGAATCAGCTCCTCCGAGTTCAAGTCCATGGCTCTTGAGCCGAGACCCGTGAGGTCAGAGGGGAGTTTCTGCCTTAAGTGGAGGAATTAAAATATTTCAGGGTTCTGTTCATGAGTGAGGGGAGAACGGAATGGGATATTGACTGATGGATTTGTGAGGTTGCCACCAAGAAGCGACCTTATTGTAGACACTGTGTGCACTGTGAAGACAGAGCTGAGTCAAAAGGTAAAGCTCTCAATTTATAAAATGGTTTATGTTGCTACTTTCACCTATGTTAATTTTTTAGGGTCATAACCGAAAGGCCAGACCCTAAACACGACCAGCTGAAAGGAACTTCAACTATCAGATGTAATGCGGACGTTTTCCATCTGAGGCAATTAACAAACCTTATTACCATAATTTAACTGCAATACTGAAAATCATGAAGCTTTTTAGAGCGATGCTGTAGTGGAATGTTTTTACATAACCAAACCTTACTGTTCATGAAGTATGATATGAGGATATTGGCTGTAGACTTTTAAATTGGGATCAGAAAATCTTTATACCTTTTATTGAAAAGATATTTGTTGTTAAAATGAACAGAATAAAAAGCTCAAAGAAATCAACCAACCTTAACATGCTGAAGCTGCAGCACCAGTTCATCAAGCTTACTTCTTTTTTCCTCAATTTCAGTTTGTCGTTTGCGTTTCTCCTGGGGACAAAAGACAACAAAAAAGAAGATTATTTGATCATCTGCATTGTTGAATTGTTTGTAGAATGGGTGTGGCGGATTTTACTACTTTGATCCATGTATATTTTTAGTTTCAGATTGTGTTTCCGTAAAAATTCAAAAAATATCCACTGGACTTGGTTTTCAAGATTTGAAGACGTTTCGCCACCTCTCCAGGAAGCTTTCTCAATTCAAATGTCTTCAAATCTTGAAAACCAAGTCCAGTGGATATTTTTTGAATTTTTACGGAATGACTATGACCTGGATGACTGAGAACCTTCATCAGCATATTTCAGATTGTGTCTGTCACTGAACAGTTTCAGAATGATTACACACGTTTTTAACCTAGAAAGAGATTGAAAGTTTGACAGTAACGAAATTGGACTGTTTGGATAGAGGAAGCAATAAGGAAGAGCTGCAGGTCAGAGTTTATCAGTTTAAAAGGGGTTAAGGCACTCAGGCTATCCAGAGATGATAGATTAGGCCACAATGCTGATCCTATACTTTAAGAAAGAAAACAATCTTTGCATCAGGGAGAGATTAATGACATTGTTTAAAGCATCAAAAAAGATGTCTATAAAATGAAATAAACAGAACTCATTCCAGGAAAAAAAAATCTTCTCAGGCTTGAGTACAGTATGATGCTGAGCATGTGAACAGAGCTCTCTCACTCCCTTTTTTTCTGTGGGAGTTCGACAAGGATTTCTAGGACATTTCCTGTCAGCTGAATATAACTTTAAGGGGAAACCCCCTATAGTAAATTAACCTTAAAGTGGGGCTAAAAAAAAAAAAAAAAAAAAATTACAGTATCAGTGAATTTAGTAGGAAGAGCTGATTTAACCCAGAGGTGAACAATTTGGTACAAAATGAAAATAGAAGAAAAATGAAAGGGAAAATGGTGACTCCTTATTAGATATACAGAACTACACCATCTGTACACAAGCAAATATGATTCCCAAACAGGATTTAAATAACTCAAGTTGACCTTGTAACTCTAATAACAAATATCGCACAGAGAGTTTAAAAACTACAAATACCCAGAATTGGGTACAATGGTTTCTCGTGTAACGAGTATTTTGGCTTGTAATATCTGATTACATTTTTTATATATATACATATACATATATATACACATACATACATATACATACATATATCTCTATTTAGAAGATTGCAAAAACATTTACAAGTGGCTCAACTTTGTTTGGAGCTCATTCTTTACAGCGGTTAAGTACTATAACACCCTTAGGCAGTCAACGGGTGTTATTAGATTGGTGTGCTTGTTTAGTGCCAGAAAAATTACCAAACAGGCCTCAGGAAGGCTACATGAGAATGGCAGGAGTTATTCTACACACGTTTCCAGCATTGTTTTCCCCTAAAAACTAAACAATATAGATCTATAAGCATAGTGAAAAACAGATACATTTGGAGAACTCGTCCTGGCTGGAAAAATATAGGACTGGTTTCTCTCTTACTGTTTCTGTTACATACACACACACACACAAACGCATCCACCCCCTACCCCACACACACACTCACCACAGGAGCCTTAAAAGCACCAGTTCCCATGGTTGGTAAAGTACAGTCAGAGCCTCAGCGGTATGGCAGACAGATGTCAGGGGACTGTTGTGAACATGTGGTTCAGGATTGAGCTAAACATACAAATGCAGACACACACGCAAGATTTGCTTCTCTTTTTCTATCCTACTAATAGCCTTAAACTGTTGGATTTCAAATTACTATCACATGTTAAAAACCAGGACCAGAGCTTAACAAATTGGTAAAGTTAAAAATAATTGTTATATTATATAAAGTAAAGAGTTAAAGGACTGCATTAAAACTAGGGGTAGCAAATAAGAACTGTTAATCAGATGGATAACCATTGAACTCTTATATAGTTTAAATGGCTCCAAAAAACGGTGCTGCTGTACAGTATACAATGTTTATTCACAGAAAACTAGCATAGACATATCCATCCATCCATCCATCCATCCATCCATCCATCCATCCATCCATCCATCCATCCATCCATCCATCCATCCATCCATCCATCCATCCAT